TCCTTTGCCGATGCTGTAGAATTTTTTCGACATTTTTTTGGATTTTTTTTATACTCGAATCGGCCGTTGAAGTTCGGAAATTTAGAGAGATAGAATGTTTAGAGAGATGAAATCAAAAATAAGGTTAAGGGCAAAAGAGTAAATGGGGGGAGGGGGGGGGCGGTGACTAGTAAAAGGGAGCGGTGAATAGCAGTTGAGAATATCTCGTTAGACTCACTCGAGTACCCTGTTTCTCAAAAGTATCTAAACTCTAGAACAGCATGAGATTTGCGAAAATACCCTTTTCGCATCAAAATGAACTTTCATACCATTAGTCCGAAAGGCAGGTAAGTGTAAATACTCGTACCGAACTAATACCAATAACCCAAGCACCACCATTTCTGCATTCATAAATCCGGAAAACTATCAATAAATTAAAAGTAATGCTTGGTGGGCTTTGATCAGAATCAAGTGCTTTTGCTGCTGGATTTTCGGCCGGTCAAGTTCTCAGACTCGTACAACATGTGATTAATCAGTCCTCTTGCAGCACTGTCACATAACACGTATTATAAGAAAACATTAATAGTTTTTAATCTCCAAATCAAACAATTGCCCTCAGTAAGACCAAAGAAAAGTTTTTGGAACTCACTCATCCTTCAGCTTTTGAACTGATACATTAGTTACCTCAAACAAGACAAAGAATTAACAAATTTGAATATATAGTTTTGTAGTGATCAGCTAATTTTATCATGACATCTAACTATTTAAGTGACAAAGCTAGCATCACAGATTTATGAAGCAATCAGCATTCTTGCACCCAATGCAAGTCCACAACAGAGATCCACATGAAGCATAAAATGTAATGCTACACATTTTTTCAATACCCTAAGCATTCATATTCATTACATAAAAAGATACATAGCATGATATACTGACAGTCTGACATACATATATAAATTTTCCGTTGAACATATATTGTCAGCTCATTCTAATTTCAGAATTCTACAGTTCAAAAGGCGCCGTTTCTAAAAAGTGGTAGAATACAATCCCTCTCATGTGTTATGCCTACAATGAATACTTAGAATGCAAAATAAAAGACCATATTGACATATCAAACAATCATATGCATGACTTATGTGAAACTAGGGAATATTAGCATTTTTATCACTGCCTCACGAAACCAAGAGCACTAATTACCTTTGAACCAATATATTTAGCTCGACGCAGGCATTCACGATATAGCTGCAATTGCAAGGAGACACAGTAGTTATAATAACAATCACATTTTTAAAAAGTTCAGCCAAGAATTTCAAACTGTATGACTCTAATATGAATTTGTATACATAATGTAATTGCTATGCTTATCATGTTGGATCATTCTAAAGAATTGAAAATTTTCGAAGAATATCCCATTAATCATTATTAACTTCAAAATTTGCATTTCCCCAGGACCAAAAAAGTAATGAAAACGCAACTCTAAACCCAAACAAACATTGATTTTTAGCATTTCTAATCAAATAATCAGTCTGATTTAACTTTAAATCCATAGAATGCTAATTTCCAATAAAACATGGGAAGATTCAGCTCAAATGAAAACAAAAAATAACTCTAACCCNTCTAGCCCTGATGGCATTGTTCGCAAGCTCGGGAGGCAATGCTGTTTGGAGAGACGGCATTTTCTGTTTGTCGGAAGAAAAAATAATTCAAATAACAGAATAAAATCAGTACACGGGAAAAACTATAATTTACTAGTACTAGTTTTCTTTGTTTACTTCTATCAAACACCTTGTCTACAATTTCAGTTTATATGAACCCTATTCTTCTGACTTCTGCAAAACATCCCAAATCCTCCAACTCCCACCATTGATGCCTCCCCAGTTCAATTCACAACTAACATCCGAAAGCCAGGTCATCACGATTTCATAGCATTGCTTAAACTACGTACGATTTGATTAATCCAGCAAACGAAGTTATCATAATCGCAAAGTCTAATTCGCGTTACAAAGGACTTACAGGTGGCAGCAAGCAGAGGGCAGAACGGTGGCGGGACGGCGAGCTCAGGCCAGTGGGGACTGACTGGTTAACGAGGAGAGAGAACTTATAAGGGTGGCTGATCTTAATTTTCTTGTTTTTATTTTGGGAAAGAATCGATTTTATTTTTTCTCTGTTATTTATTTTATTTTTATTATTATATTTTAAAATCAAAGTTCTATCTTTTAATCGTTATTTGTCCATTAGAATTAACGAATGGAAAATTCTAAATGAACAACACCGTTTACAACCTGGTGTACAACTTACAAATTTTGTCAAAGTTTTGGTTACAAATTTACCAACATATCCTTATTTGATTTGATAATCAAATATGAGTAAAGAACCGGTTACTCAAACTCTTGAAAAACTTTCTCAAAAAGTAGATGCTCTCAAAGCAAAGATTACTCATTTGCTTACTCAGCAAAACCTTTATCTTTTGGCAATAAAGGAAAAATTTGCTGAAAATCAATATTTCAACGAATCTGTTGAACAAGGCAATGCCAAACCAGACATTCTCTTTAAAATAAGAAATGAAGAAAAACATGAGTGCTTACATGATTCATCCAAATGGCCTCATCTATTTCACACATTCAACCCACAGTTGAATAACATATCAGATATGATAGCTTTCTTAATTAAAAAGCTAGAAAATGGTAAAGACATTGTTCTTCCATCAGTTGCTCCTGAAAAACAACCAAATAGGATTACACCTCCTATTCGATTCCTATGAGCCAGGTCGAGGAAAGCAATGAAATGTTGGAAAAACAATTGGAAGAATTATCCAAACTCATGGCAGCCTTCGATCTAGGCAAGAACCATGTAAATTCTGATGATGAGAAATCAGAAAATCAGAACGACTTAGTCTATGGGTTCAGTTCAGATGACGAATTCGAAGACGAGCCGACAGACAACCCATTCAATGTCAAAATTGAGGAGGGAGAGTCGTCAAAAAATCCGTTCAAAAGAAAAAGAACGATTGGACAAGAAAAGGAATTTTATCGACAGAAGTTCGAAAGGATCCCGAAAAGATACGTTCCAGAGCATCATGTAAATAGTGGTCCAGGCACATTAGACATTGACTGTGTTGATGATACTAATACAACAATAAGAGATTGGTACAATACCAATTCGGTTCTATTACAAATACACGAGGAATTGAAGGGACTAAGTTCTCTTGATATCTTCAATTATTTGCTATATAGAACAAAAGGAAATGCTTATAAATATTTAAGCAAGCTTCCAACTCAGTTATTGAACCAACTTCCTACTAATCCAACTGATGTCGGAGGATGGGTTTATCAACTCCTTATTTCAGAATTTATTGGACGAGCACCAACAATTGAAAGTGAAATTGCTTTTTCAAACCTCAACTATTGGAAAATAGTTAATCTAAAGATATGCAATATGTGCTATATTGATAACTATATTTGCGAACTTAGCAAATATTACTACAATATAGAACCTATTGACAGAATAACCAAGCAGGTTGATCAAATGTTTTTTGCAAAGTTACCTGAGTATGTTTCAACTCAAGTAAATGAATATTTTCAAACAAATGTTTCAGCAAACAAGGGTAATAATAATCTTGGTGGTAGAATAACAACTTTAAAAATCTAGCTTACTGAACAATGTAACCAAAAGATGGCTAAAAGGCAGGCCGCTGTTGGATTATGTTGTAATAAGCTACAAGAAAAGGTATCCGAATACGGGTGCAAAAAAACTTTCAAAAAAAAGCGTAGGAAAAAGATTTTTAAAAGAATTTCTCCTAAAAAACATAAAAAATCGTTTTACAAAAACAAAAGATATTTCAGGAGAAACAACTCTCGAAAATCTTACAAAAGAAAAGATGCATGTCCTCAAGGTAAAAAGGATTGCACTTGTTGGCTTTGCCAAGAAAAAGGTCATTACGCTAATGAATGCCCTAAAAAGAAATTTTCAAAGAAAACTGAAGTTTTAATATGGTTTATGATCTTGGTTACGAACCAATTGAGTCTGATATTTCGTCAGATGAGGAAATTTTTGAACTTATTTCAGAAAATGACGAAGAAGATTCTAAATAAGAGTAACCCTAGTGTTACCTTCATCAAAATCTCACTTCGAGAAAAACAATTTTTGGCTTATATCGACACAGGCACAACCCTTTGCTTTGGTCGAAAGTCTATTTCAAACAAATGGCAAAAATTAGTTTCCCCAAATGAAATAATTATTGCTGATAAATCAAAACATTTTATTCATTATGTTTTGCAAAATCAAAAGATTTTTACAGAAGGATACGAATTCATCGTACCATCTATCTATCTCCATGATTCAGGCCTTGACTTAATTATTGGAAATAACTTTCTAAAACTATATGAACCTTTCGTTCAAAGGGCAAATACGGTTTCTTTAAATTGGAAAAATCTTTTCAATCCGAAAGAAAGAAAACTTGCTACTACAAGGATTTTAACTCGAAACGAGTTAGTAAAAATTGTTTCTGAAAAGTTTTGTCAAATTCAGACTACCCTCGAAAGTATTTTGTTATATAAAACCATTGAACAAAGTCTCGACGAGGTATGTTCTGATCATCCTCTCGATAGTTTGAAAAACACAAACCAAGAACTAGTTGTGATAAATCTCAAGGATCCTCATAAGGAAGTAAATGTTCCTAATAGGATACCTTATACTATCAGAGATGTTGAAGAATTTCAACAAGAATGCCAAGATTTGCTCAGCAAAAACTTGATAAGAGAAAGTGCGAGTCCTCATTCAGCACTGGCATTCTATGTCGAAAACCATAATGAAATCAAACGCGGTAAAAGGCTTATGGTTATCAATTACAAAAAAATGAATGAAGCCACTATTGGTGATTCTTACAAATTACCAAGAAAGGACTTTATTTTTGAAAAAATAAAAGGGTCAAAATGGTTTTCCAGTCTCGACGCTAAATCTGGCTATTATCAGCTAAGACTTAGTGAAGAAACTAAGCCCTTAACAGCTTTTTCGTGTCCACCACAAAAACATTACAAGTGGAATGTTTTATCGTTTGGACTAAAACAAGCTCCCAGTATATACCAAAGATTTATGGATAAGTCTCTCGAAGGACTTGAACATATTTGCTTGGCATATATTGATGATATCCTTATATCTTCAAAAGGATCAAAAGAAGAACATATTTTCGATGTCCAAAAAGTTTTGACAAGAGTCAAAGAAAAAGGAATTGTGATTTCAAAGAAAAAATCAAAACTTGTTCAAACTGAAATTGAATATCTCAGAACAATTATCAAAGAAGATGGGAAAATTGATTTATCACCCCATACTCAAGAAAAGATTTTAGCTTTTCCAAATGTTTTCGAAAATCGTAAACAGATTCAAAGATTTTTGGGATGTTTAAACTACATTTCAAATGAAGGATATTTCAAAGATTTATCCACAGATAGGAAAGTTGTACAAAAGAAGTTTTCAGACAAAGTCCCATGGTCTTGGACAGACTCAGATTCTGAAGTCGTCAAAAAGATCAAAAGCAAGATAATCACCTTGCCTCAACTCTACAATCCAACCAACGATGACTTCCAAATCATCGAAACAGATGCTTCACAGCATGTTTGGGCAGGATGTATGAGGGCTCTTCCCAATGGGAAGAAAAAGCTTTCGCTCGATGAGCAAGGCAAATCTATAGCTCTATCCGGACAAACCGACTTATCCGATAGACCTCTAAAAATATCGGCAGAGTTTGAAAAACAACTCTTATTGTGTAGATACACCAGTGGAACTTTTAGTGACACTGAAACCCGGTATCCAATAGCGGAACTTGAAGTTCTCGCAGGAGTCCGTGTATTAGAAAAATGGAAAATAGATTTACATCTTCCAGATTTCTATTACGAACAGATTCCAAATACTTTGCAGGTTTTTGGAGATATAACATCCGAACCGATTACAGGAACGGAAGACTGATACGGTGGCAATTGCGACTGCAACAATTCCAGCCATACCTGGAGTTGATCAAATCGGAGAAAAATCCGTTCGCGGACACACTGACAAGATAATGGAGCAAGAAATGAAGCAGCTTCAGCACCAGCTAAAGCAGAGGGATGAACAAATCCAAGCTGCACAAAAAAGATTCAACTCTCTTTTCTCGCAGAGGGGGGAGATTGAAGAAACAATAAAAAACCTGGAAAACTTCAACATTCCAGTAAATCTTGGTCAGACCAAGTAGAAGAAGAGGAAGAAACCCAGAAGGAAGTACAGACTTCAGAGCCAATTAAAGTTGCACAGGTCCAAGCCCAGCAACAAACAAAGGAGACGAACTCTCCTCCTGAAAAGGAAAAAGTTCAAAAAGAGGTTTCAACCTCAAGACTGTCTTCACAGACATTGGAGAAGAACCCTCCGCCTAAACAGGAAAAGGTTCAAACTGAGGATTCACCCTCAAAAGAAGCCTATGTGATCTTTGATGGTCCGACAAAAGGCGTTTACAAAAACTGGAACATTGCCAAGTTACATATCATCGGCAAGCCAGTTAGACACCAAAAATATCCAACCTACGAGGATGCTCTGAAAGCCTACAAAAAGGCTTACCATACAGTCTCAACAGATCCAGACCTCCAAACAGACAGATCTTTGGGATATAGCAGAAGGATTGCTACTCAGCAGTTGATCCAAAAGTAATTAAAGGACGTTTCGACAGAACCTAATGATGTCGAGTTCCACAGAAATTGGAAATGGCTAACCGAGTACTCGGAAGAGTTCACTCAGGAATGCTTCTATCCAACAAATTCCGCTACTGGAGCAAAGGCAGTATTCCTAACAGGAGCCAATCCGACCATAATAAACTCCTTTTTTAAGAGTGGATTAATATCAATAATCTACTTACAAGAAAGTGAGAAAAAGAGTTATGCAGAATTGGAAGAACTTCCGGGATGTTAGAGTAGGGTACCCGGCGTTCCAATCTAATTGGACGTATTCTACTTGTAAATACAGTCTATTGGAATTATATTATGAATAAGGCATTTCTTTATCTTAAGAGAAAACATTTATCTTATAATTGCACTTAAGATAAAATCCCTAGATCACTTATGGTTATAAGGTATGGTTGCGCATAGAGATGGTGATCATGGAACATACCTTGAAAGCCGTGATCTTAAATACAGTTCCAAGTCGATGGATGTTTCGAGATGGGATATCGAATAATCCATAAAAGACTTGCACATAGTTTGTATGCTTGTTGGACAAGAATGTTGCATTCCATCAACATTAGCGTAAGACGTAAGTACATTTATGTGGGTGCTTGTTAGAGAACAAGTTCACTGAACATGACCGTATGAAAATTCTTAATGAAGAATTTATTCAGTCGAATAAGAATTTTCATGTTACAATAGTACATGACTAATCCTAAGACTTGAGGCACAATGGTAACTTTGTGCATATTACATTCTACTTTGATTTATCCTTTTGGTAGCTAGCACTATCGTTTAAAGGGATAAGTTGGGTATTATGTTAATATGTATGGAAGTTTGTTAGTGGCCAATAAAGGATTCGACACTTATGAAGATAAGTGAATTTCCTATGTGTTTCATAGTTATTAATCCAAAGTCCTTGGCCAAGGCAGAGATGAATAGTGATTCATAACAGGGTTAATAAACTTGAAATAGAATCATAGTTATTAAGTCAATTTGGGTTTCGACAAAATCATACCCAAGACTTAATCGGGAAATTAGATGTCGAAAGGATTTTACATGTATGGAGTTGTAATCGGAATAGGTTTACTCGCTATTCACTTAATACTAGATTCATGCTACTTGCTAGGTGTTCCCATGATATGTGGGTTCTTGAATTAAAGGGTTAATTCATGAATAAGAGTTAATGTGATTAACTCAAATTACAAAGAGTTGTAAACCCACTACTAGTATTAAGGTGAACCTAAAAGGTCACACCTATTATGAACAAAGGTGAAAAATTGTATTTCTAAAGAGTTAGAATTAATTGACATAATCTAATTTGATTAGATATCAATTAAAAGGAATATATTAATCAATAAGATTGATTAATTACATTTTGGATATTACTTTAGTAATTAAGGTAATTACTAAATTAATATGTTGGAATTTAAAATTGGATTTTAAATTTCCAAACCAAAATAATAATAATATGATTATTATAATATGGATGTAAATTGGGAAAATGAATATAATAATAAAGTCTTGAAAAGATTCTCAAGATTTATTATTCTATTATTATTTTTATCTTTAAATATGATTTAAGGATTAAAATAATAAATATGATTATAATAAAATGGTGGTTAAAGGTGGTTTGAACCACTTAACATTATTTATTATTTTCAAAGTCAATAGTTAGTAAATTCAAAGTCAATAGTTAGTAAATATTATTTAAATAAAATCTGATTTTATTTAAATATTACTAAATGTTGATTATTTTATGCTAAAATGTTTAGTATAAATAGATGCAAAATGGTTTTGCATTTAAGGTGAATTCATTCCTAAAATTTCTAAGTGTTAGAAAGAAGAATAGTTCTTCATAAACATCAAGAAAGAGTTCTTGAAATTTCCCAAAATAAAATTCATACATATTCCTATACAAGAAAACCGAGACATTCCTACTAGCGAAGGAAGGTCGTCGGAACCGGGCTTCATAGGGTGGATACGTTTAGAGGGAAGACACTTGGATTCCTAAAGTGAGTAACCTCAATCCGTTGAAGTTATCAAACCGGGAACCGATTCCCACAATCCACATCGTCGTTGAAGGAGTTCAAGACATTCGGTAAATATTTGTACTGGTATTTACTTTATATATAACAAATCAAAATTTGTATATGATGCATGTTTTAAAGATGACGATCAGTTAATTCGCAATTAGTATGTACGGGTGTTGTATTTATACGATAAATACTTACTTTGAAAAATTTTAAATTCCGCTGCTTAAAGCCCGTACGGTACTAGCGAACCTAACAGTGGTATCAGAGCCACGGTTATCGTCTTTAAAACAGATTTTGATTTGTTATTGCTTATGAGTTAAGCAAGATAATTAAATGTTTATGAGATAAATATATTAATTATCAAAAATAAAAAAAAAAAATTATTATTATTCATTAGATGAATGATTTAGGGATGATCATGAGCCTCATATTTAATATGATTGAATGTATGTTTTCATTTTCAATATGATTGAATGAATGAATGGATGTTTAATTATGTTTTTCAATATGATTGAAGAAATGTAATTTATCGAGACCTGCGAGTCTCTTGAGATGAAATTTGTAAAATTTGAAATTTTGTATCGTTCGAGATTCGATCAAGGTGGAGACCGTTCGATGACAAAGGCCCACGCATGTGTGGGTAATTTTACAAGTTGTAATCTCGAAGGCCTGTGCTTGTACGGGTAGATAGAATAAATGTAATAGAAGTAGTTCTATTATTTGTTTTATCACGTACATAGGCATAGATCCATTTTGGCTCGAATGGATCGAATAGGCAAGGACATGATCATCCCACCATGCATTAGATGTATGTTAGGTTTATTTACGCTTTCGTTTCATTAGATAACTGAAACCGGTAAATAAACGTAAAGATGGCAATCGATGAGATCAAGGAACCCAAACGGAATAATTTGATTAATTCCATATCAAATCAATAATGGATAAAAATAAGTTGGAACTTATTAATCCCGGCCTTCCATCAAAAGTAGATGACATGAGACGCTACGATGCTTTATCACCGACCATGAGCCGTGGGGTGGTTTTGTGTTGAAAGCTGTGAACTCTACTAAGTATATCGATACACATGAGACGGATTCCTCTTTGTGTTGACCATGAGTCGTGGGACATTTTGATGGGCCGTTATCATGTATGTTTGATGGCTTTGATTTGACACCGAGTAATATATACGGTCATAAAATTGAGGTATATAAGGAAAGGTGAGGCAAAATATCTTGAAGGTTGTATACGAGATACAATTATCAAAAGTTGATTACCGATATAAATGTTCCATGCGTACTCATAAAATTGGGATATGGAATATTTTTATTGGACTTCAAGCCCACTATGAAAATTAGATTTTCATAATTAAAAAAAGGGGTTTTAAATTAAATTAGTGGGAGACATTTAATATTTAAAGACCTAATATTAAATGAATATGAATTCCATAGTCTAATTATTTTCTGCTTCGTCTGTTGTTTTTGTAGATTGTCTACTAAAATGGCTAAAAATCCAATCGCTAGTATCCTCGAACAAAACAAATTAACTGGACCCAACTTTAACGATTGGCTAAGGAACCTAAAAATTGTTCTTCAGTCTGAGAAAAGGGCATATGTACTGGACAGAGCCCCTCCTCCTCCACCAGAGGATCAGACTGCTGATGAGTATGGAGAATATTTACGTCATGTGGATGACAATCTCCAAGCTCGGTGTTACATGTTAGCATCAATGTCAAATGAGTTACAGAGACAGAATGAATTATTAGATAATGCTTCTGAAATCCTCCTTCACCTACAAGAGTTGTATGGTGATAGGACGCGGCAAATTAGATATCAAACATCTAAGGAGCTTTTTAGGTGTCGTATGACTGAGGGCTCTTCAGTTCATGATCATGGGCTGAAGATGATAGCTCTCATTGAAAGGCTTTCATCCCTTGGAGTCATTATGGATAATGAACTCTATGTGGATTTGTTGCTGCAATCTCTGCCACCGTCGTTTGATAGCTTTGTCGTTAATTTTAACATGCACAAAATGGAGACTTCTCTCCATGAGTTGGTGGGTATGTTAAAGACGGCTGAATCCACAATTAAAAAGGATAAGCCGGTGCTTCTAGTTGGATCCACTTCCAAAGCGAAGACTTTTCAGTCTAAGAAGAGGAAGGGGAAGGGAAAGGTTCCCAATAAACCCAACAAGAAGGCAAATAATGACAAAGGGAAGAACAAGGAAAAGGTTAATCCTCAGTTGAATCATGAATGTTATCATTGTGGTAAAACTGGGCACTGGAAGTGGAACTGCAAGGAGTATCTTGCAAGCCTGAAGAGTTCAGGTATTTATTTTGTTGAAGTTAACTTATCAGTTAATGATTCTTCTTGGGTATTAGATACCGGCTGTGGCTCACATATTTGCAATGATTTGCAGAGGATAGCAAGAAGTAATAAGCTAGAAGGTGAAGAAACAATCCTAAGGATGGGCAATGGAGCAAGAGTTGCTGCCAAAGCTATTAGGACTGTTTATCTGGCTTTAAATAATGGTGTAAAAGTTTGTCTTTCAAATTGTTTGTATGTTCCTGATATTATAAGAAACATTATTTCTATTCCAATATTGGATAAGGAAGGTTTTAAGTTTGTCATTGAAAATGGAAGATGTTCTATTTTCAAAGATACAACTTTTATATATTCAGGAAAATTGACAAATAGTTTATATACCATTACACCAGAAAGTCCCATCCTAACCATTCAACAAAATAAAAGGAAATTAGATAATCATAGTTCATTCACAATTTGGCATGCTAGATTAGGTCATATATCTGAAAAGAGGATTCACAAATTGGGACCAAAACTCGACCTTATGGGAGAGGATAGGTTGCCTACATGTGAATCATGTCTTAAAGGTAAAATGACAAAATCACCATTTGTTGGACAAGTGGAGCGAGCTAAAGGTATGTTGGATTTGATCCATACGGATGTTTGTGGACCACTAAATGTTAGTGCTATGGGGAACTATCACTATTTCATAACATTTACTGATGATTTTTCACGGTATGGTTATGTATACTTATTAAGGTACAAATCTGAAGTATTTGAAAAGTTCAAAGAATTCAGAAATGAAGTGGAGAAACAAATTGGTCGTAGTATTAAAGTCCTTCGATCGGATCGAGGAGGTGAATACTTGACTAATGAGTTTCTTGATTATTTAAGGGATAATGGGATTATCTCACAGTGGGCACCTCCTGGAACTCCACAACTCAATGGGGTTTCAGAAAGGAGAAATCGAACACTGTTAGACATGGTTCGATCAATGATGAGTTCCACTAGTTTACCTCTTTCATTCTGGGGTTATGCCTTAGAAACAGCTGCACATATTTTGAATAGAGTGCCGAGTAAAGCTGTACCCAGCACACCTTATGAGATATGGTGTGGTAAATCACCCTCATACAAATATTTGAAAGTATGGGGTTGTACTGCTTATGTGAAGCAGTTAGTGGGAGGTAAGTTGGATATGAGATCCATCTTATGTAAATTTGTGGGGTATCCAAAAGAATCTATTGGATACTATTTCTATGATCCCTCTGAACAAAAGGTGGTTGTTTCGAGGAATGCTATATTCTTAGAGGAAGAGTTTCTCTCAAAGAATAGTGGAGTCATAGAACTTAATGAAGAACCACAAGAAATTCCACAAAGTACCATAAATAACATACCAGTAGAGACTGGACCATCTGAAACACAACCTCTTCGGAGATCCGAAAGGGTTTCTAGGGCGCCTGAAAGGCTATACCTATTGTCAAAAGACAATAAAGAGGGACTCCTTTTGGATAATGATCCAATAAGCTATGATGAGGCAATGTTGGACATTGACTCAGATAAATGGCAAGAAGCTATGCAATCCGAAATAGATTCCATGTATTCAAACAAAGTATGGACTTTGGTTGATCCACCACAGGGTATTGTACCCATAGGTTGTAAATGGGTTTACAAGCAAAAACGTGGTGTAGATGGAGAAGTAAATACTTTTAAAGCAAGACTGGTTGCTAAAGGTTACACTAAAAAACAAGGTGTTGATTATGAGGAAACTTTTTCACCAGTAGCAATGCTTAAATCTATTCGGATATTGCTAGCCATAGCTGCGTATTATGACTACGAGATATGGAAAATGGATGTGAAAACTGCTTTTCTTAATGGAAACATTAAGGAAGACATTTATATGAAACAACCGCAAGGTTTCATATCCAATGGGAGTGAACAAATAGTTTGTAAACTTCAAAGGTCTATTTATGGACTTAAACAAGCTTCGAGGAGTTGGAATATTCGGTTTGATGAAACGATCAAAACGTTTGATTTTCATAAGAATCCGGATGAACCATGTGTTTATAAGAAGGTTAGTGGGAGTGCAGTTACATTTGTTGTTCTATATGTTGATGACATCCTACTCATTGGGAATGATGTAGGGATGTTGCAGTCAACTAGGGCATGGTTGTCAAAACAGTTTTCCATGAAAGACTTGGGAGAAGCATCCTTTATCCTAGGGATAAAAATCTATAGAGATAGATTTAAAAGGATGATCGGACTATCCCAGTCAACGTACATAAATAAGGTGCTAAAACGGTTTAGCATGGAAGAATCCAAATGAGGATATATTCCAATGAGTCATGGGGTTTCACTTTCTAAGACGATGTCTCCAAAGACATATGAAGAAAGAGAACGGATGAGTCATATACCTTATGCATCAGCTATTGGTAGCATTATGTATGCAATGATATGTACAAGACCTGATGTGGCTCATGCAATTAGTGTAACGAGCAGATATCAGTCTAATCCAGGTGAAGAACACTGGAAAGCCGTTAAGATGATTCTTAAGTACTTACGAAGGACTAAGGATATCTTTATGGTATACGGCAATGGAGAACTGAAACTAGAAGGCTTTACTGATTCTGGTTTTCAGTCCGATAAAGACGACTATAAATCCATGTCTGGATACTTATTTACTCTGAATGGAGCAGCAGTTAGTTGGAAAAGTTCCAAACAAGAAACAATTGCTGACTCTACGACAGAGGCTGAATATATTGCTGCATCTGATGCTGCAAAAGAAGCTGTTTGGATAAGGAACTTCATCCAAGGGTTGGGTGTAGTACCATCTGTTGTTGATCCAATAATGATTTATTGTGATAACAATGGGGCTATTGCACAAACAAAGGAGCCAAGATCTCATCAAAGATCCAAACACATTATGAGACGATACCATTTGATTAGAGAAATCATTGGTAGATGCGACGTCGTAATGGAGCGAGTCGACTCAGCAGAAAATATAGCAGACCCCTTAACTAAGCCATTATCACAGAAAGTGTTCGAAGGACATCTTGAGAAGATGGGTCTTAGATACATGAGTGATTGGAACTAGGGCAAGTGGGAGATTGTTAGAGTAGGGTACCCGGTGTTCCAATCTAATTGGACGTATCCTACTTGTAAATACAGTCTATTGGAATTATATTATGAATAAGGCATTTCTTTATCTTAAGAGAAAGCATTTATCTTATAATTGCACTTAAGATAAAATCCCTAGATCACTTATGGTTATAAGGTATGGTTGCGCATAGTGATGGTGATCATGGAACATACCTTGAAAGCCGTGATCTTAAATACAGTTCCAAGTCGATGGATGTTTCGAGATGGGATATCGAATAATCCATAAAAGACTTGCACATAGTTTGTACGCTTGTTGGACAAGAATGTTGCATTCCATCAACATTAGCGTAAGACGTAAGTACATTTATGTGGGTGCTTGTTAGAGAACAAGTTCACTGAACATGACCGTATGAAAATTCTTAATGAAGAATTTATTCAGTCGAATAAGAATTTTCATGTTACAATAGTACATGACTAATCCTAAGACTTGAGGCACAATGGTAACTTTGTGCATATTACATTCTACTTTGATTTATCCTTTTGGTAGCTAGCACTATCGTTTAAAGGGATAAGTTGGGTATTATGTTAATATGTATGGAAGTTTGTTAGTGGCCAATAAAGGATTCGACACTTATGAAGATAAGTGAATTTCCTATGTGTTTCATAGTTATTAATCCAAAGTCCTTGGCCAAGGCAGAGATGAATAGTGATTCATAACAGGGTTAATAAACTTGAAATAGAATCATAGTTATTAAGTCAATTTGGGTTTCGACAAAATCATACCCAAGACTTAATCGGGAAATTAGATGTCGAAAGGATTTTACATGTATGGAGTTGTAATCGGAATAGGTTTACTCGCTATTCACTTAATACTAGATTCATGCTACTTGCTAGGTGTTCCCATGATATGTGGGTTCTTGAATTAAAGGGTTAATTCATGAATAAGAGTTAATGTGATTAACTCAAATTACAAAGAGTTGTAAACCCACTACTAGTATTAAGGTGAACCTAAAAGGTCACACCTATTATGAACAAAGGTGAAAATTGTATTTTTAAAGAGTTAGAATTAATTGACATAATCTAATTTGATTAGATGTCAATTAAAAGAAATATATTAATCAATAAGATTGATTAATTACATTTTGGATATTACTTTAGTAATTAAGGTAATTACTAAATTAATATGTTGGAATTTAAAATTGGATTTTAAATTTCCAAACCAAAATAATAATAATATGATTATTATAATATGGATGAAAATTGGAAAAATGAATATAATAATAAAGTCTTGAAAAGATTCTCAATATTTATTATTCTATTATTATTTTTATCTTTAAATATGATTTAAGGATTAAAATAATAAATATGATTATAATAAAATGGTGGTTAAAGGTGGTTTGAACCACTTAACATTATTTATTATTTTCAAAGTCAATAGTTAGTAAATATTATTTAAATAAAATCTGATTTCTTTAAATATTACTAAATGTTGATTATTTTATGCTAAAATGTTTAGTATAAATAGATGCAAAATGGTTTTGCATTTAAGGTGAATTCATTCCTAAAATTTCTAAGTGTTAGAAAGAAGAATAGTTCTTCATAAACATCAAGAAAGAGTTCTTGAAATTTCCCAAAATAAAATTCATACATATTCCTATACAAGAAAACCGAGACATTCCTACTAGCGAAGGAGGTTGTCGGAACCGGGCTTCATAGGGTGGATACGTTTAGAGGGAAGACACTTGGATTCCTAAAGTGAGTAACCTCAATCCGTTGAAGCTATCAAACCGGGAACCGATTCCCACAATCCACATCGTCGTTGAAGGAGTTCAAGACATTCGGTAAATATTTGTACTGGTATTTACTTTATATATAACAAATCAAAATTTGTATATGATGCATGTTTTAAAGATGACGATCAGTTAATTCGCAATTAGTATGTACGGGTGTTGTATTTATACGATAAATACTTACTTTGAAAAATTTTAAATTCCGCTGCTTAAAGCCCGTACGGTACTAGCGAACCCAACACGGGATGCATAAGAAAAATGGCGAACCAATTCAATAAGTTGTTTGCCAAAGAAAATGAAATATACTAAAGCTTCAAAGTACATATCCCTACTTTGATGAAGGTATAATCATACGACCCAAGAACATTATCAAGATGGGTCTAGCAAATGGATCATATCCAGAAATCCAGAAAGGGCGATTAAGTTCACCTACAAAATGTTTGTAGAACAAATTAACCAGTTCTACAGCTACAGACGTCAATGGGGAACCACGAACACTGGTTTTAAAGTCCTTGCAGAAGGATAAGGAATAATGGTTATCTCAAACACCACTAAGAAGGCCACAGAAGGGATGCTAAACAAAATGATCAAATTTGAGAAGACCTGATCAATATCAAAGGAAGCTTCGAGATCATGCCCGAAGATCTTAAACACTTCGTGTGCGAGAGAATGCGAAGATACGAAGCACACAAGTGCTCTCTATGCCCCGAAGATTTTCCTCCTCTGAAGGAAGAAAGAAGTGACGCACGCAGTGACGTCTCTAAGATCCGACAACAGCAAGTGCGAGGACCCCATTTCAACCACTCATACATCAATAATGTAGATTTAGTGGTTGTGTAAAGAAAGTGGACTCCTTAATGGACCACTATATTATTGTACATATTAAAATGACCACATCTGTTAAGTGGACCATTTGCTTTTAATAATGGAGGACGCGTGTTTGACCTCACTTTATCTTTTTACGCGTGATTAGGTATGAAGGGTTCTACCGGTTATCGGTCACCCTTGTTGTATTGCCTATAAAAGGCCCCCTTGTGTATCAAAATAAACAGGAGTAATTAAGTTGAAGACTTTTCTTCTCACTTGTGCGCTGTATAGCAACAAGTTCCGGCAGGGGATAGTACCTGTACAACCACTAGGGGGGATACCTAGAAAAGAAAATTAAAATCTCCTCATGAGATACCCAAAAACTTAAATCTCACCCGAGAACCTCAACACAACAATCCACAAGGAAAAGAAGAAGAACAATCCTCCTTCAACAAGAAAAAGACGATATAGAAAAATCATATCAGGTAAAATGGACCTTTTAAATTGTTTTTACAATTTTCAATATCATATTTTTAGCATTCTATCCGTCAATAATAAAAATATTATAGTACTAGTACTGATTGATACCAGTACAATATGTTCATACATATCATCTGAATTTGTTGAAATTCTGTTTGATATTCCAAAAAGAATCATTAAAAACTCTAAGGGCTTTGAGAAAACCTTCACACAAGGAACTGAGATCAAGTTTGAATTATCTGGAATCCAGATGATAACTTGCTCACTCCTCGTAGAAGAAAATTCTAAAGAATTTGTTCTTGGAACCAATTTCTTAGAAAAATTTGAATATCAGATAACTTCTATTCTTAATACTAGGAGATTTAAAACATCCTAGAATAAAACTTTCAAAAGACACCATTGGAAATCTTTTTTAAATGGAGATCATCGAACAAATCGAAGATCAAAATGAGTTTTTCATAGATGCTCTACTTTGCCAAAAAATTGAAAAATCTGACTTTTCCATCAAGGAAAATGAGAATTTCAAAACAAGCCTTAAACATGATTTGAAAAGAGTTTTCTCCCGAGAAAATGTTTTAAAGTTTGGTATAATGACCGGTGAAGTTGTTGTTCCGATTGAAAACACAGATGGTAGTGTTTTGTTATCTACCATAAATCAAGACCAAATCCGTAAACGAATTTTATCGTTACCGGAAAAGGAAAGAATCAGAATGAAATACATTCATATTTCAACAATTCAAATTATAATTAAAAGTGCTTTTCTGAAAGGGATAAATTCCCCTTTAGAATTAATACTAAAAGATAATCGTTTGATTAATCTTAACGAATCAAGGATTGCTGAGGGAACTGGCAATTTAAAAATGGGCAAAATCAAGTTTGATATAAATCTTCAGATTGGTCTTTCTCTGAAAGATATAAATCTTGATAGATCTATAATTTTAAATTACAGGTTGTTAAGAAAAGATTTTATGAAGCAAGGAAACCATTCGTTTTCCATCTGTTATAAAATCAACTATGCTTTGAGTAATTCACATCATAGCATAGAATTCATGCAGAAGGATCGAATCTTTATTGATGAATTATTTAATGAGGTTTTATCTCTAAAAATCCCAATCTGTAGAAACCTAGAAAATTCTAGTGTGACTAAAGAAAGGGAAAATGTTTTTAAAACTCTTCAAAAAATAACACCTCCCGTTGGTGAATTTTGTAAAGATGAGTATCAGAAACTCAGAAATATGGTTTATACTGCAACATCAAGTTACAGATTTACACAATAAAATATAATGCCTGCTATTTCATGGGAATATATTTTAGAATCAACCATTCAAAAGTTGAAAGTTAAATATCGAACCTTAGTTCGAACTCGCGATAAAAATCTGATTGCCTCAGATATCGAAAGAATGGCTTATAGCCTTCGACTCGTTCAAAACGAAAATCCATTACAACCCCAGAATTTGAGGTTTGTAAAAAACGGATTTATCGAAGCAGAGTCTCATCTCTCTCGAGATTATTCCGCAAAAATCACAACCTCAAATGATGTTTTCATTTGACCCATTTTCCCGAGAAAAAATGGTATCAGAGCCTGGTAACAGGTGAAGATATTACAAATTGAAAATTTGAAAATAGCTAAAAAGTTTGAATTGTGCATAAGGGCAAATTTGTACATGACAACTTGGTTGTAAACAAGGTTGTAAACCAAGATGTCAAAGTAGCATAACCCTTAACGAATATTGCTTATGCCGGTGATATTGTCATTTTTTTTCTTAAAATGATAGATTTATATTTCAACTACATCAGAAACCATCCCACATATGGTTTAGACACCACAATAGTACAATCCCTCCAATAATCGGATGGGGGTCCCAACAGTGCAACTTACACAACAGAGGGTGCTGTATTTTTTAATTACCATTGGATCATTTTATTTTAATCTAATGGTTTAAAATTTGTCTTTTTTTTTTCTTTAATCACACAACAATAAAATAGCTTCTTTCCTTTTCACTGAATCCCGCCTGGTGGGAATTGGCTCAACTAACCCCTTCTACATCACATTTTGTTTAAATGACCTTTGACTCAAATTTTACAAATAAAATTTAACAAATAATCGTATTAAATAGGCATTTACACATATACCCTCAACATAAAATAATACAATTTCCACCTTCTTCTTTCCTTCCCAATCTCTCTCTCGCCCTCGTTTTTTTTTCTTCTGCAACTCCTCTCTCTCTCACTCTTTTTCTCTCTGCGTTTTCTTCAGCAATTTTCGTGGAAAATCACTATGGAACTCTCTCTCGTCAATCCCGGTACGAATTTTTCGATTTTTGTCATTTTTTTCTTTGTTTGGTCCTTTGATATTGGTGGAGCAAGTTTGATTGTTCTATGTGAATTCATCTTATTTTACTAGTTTTGATGGAATTGAAGATGATAATATGTGCACTCTAGGTATTTGATGAAATGTTTGTAGGATTGAGTTAATGAAGTAAGATAGTAATTTGTGCACTCTATGTGTTTGATGAAATGCTTGCTATGCTAGTTGTTGTATACTTGGAACCATTAAAAATCACTTAAATTGTAACTATAGCGAAGGTATAGGTGTATTTAATCGACCGGGATGGAAATATAACCATAACGAATGTACATTCGTTATGTTGAAATCATAACGAATGTACTCTCGTTAAGGTTATTTTGATGGAATGAGGTGTTAGCGATTCTATCATCGTTATATATGACATTAGGACGATATTTTAAACTCGTTATAGTCTCGAAATGCTCATAACGAAGGTAGAATCGATATAGTTGTATTCAATATTTTAAATGCGTAGTTGAGTAATATATATTGAACAAAATAAGTAAAACTATTTTTCTTCCTATAACAAGACATAAATATAGGTATACAAAATTTTATTTGTATTAATATAAATAAAATGAGTTGTCTTTCTTATGAGTTTTCTTTAAATGAGTTGTCTTTCTCCTCTTCTTTTAGGAACGAAAATGGAGTTTGCGTTCGATATACCTTAGACATGCTCAGGAGTCGTGACCAATAGGTGCGACCTCAAGGTTGCCGATCATGTATTTAATAATCTAGATGTTGCACATAAAGCTCTATTTGTGGAATCATGCTTCCGGCCACTAGTGCATATTCCCGATTTGAAATTGGCGTCTCAAATAATCCACCACCTTCTTCAAAGGACCTTGAAATCATCCGAGAATGAAAAAAACGCTGTGTGGTTCAAATTTGGAGAAAAAGAATCTAGATTCGGGTTACAAGAATTTTCTCTTGTAAGCGGATTCAAGATTATGCATGATGTGGCTTCGTACGAGGTCCCGCAAAAAAATAGTTTTCTTTTGAATTTATTCAAAGGGAAGCGAGGGAAGCTAACAACGAAAGACTTTCTCAATAAATTTGATGATTTGGTAAAGAAGAAGGAAGATGCATATTTCATATACAAATTGGGGACTATCACGGTCCTTGAGCATGTGGTTTTGTCTAACGAGTGACGAACTCTTGTGGATGAAAAATGGTTTCATCTGGTTGAAAATTTGGAGAAGTTCAATAGCTATCCTTGGGGGAACTTGTCGTACGAGTATACCGTAAAGTTGTTCACGCGGAAGAGTTTCGATAATAAAAAAAAATACAGAGATGAAGTATTCTCTGCATGGTTTTCCTCTAGCTATCATGGTATTTTTCATATAAATATATATTTATTTATACTCTTTTTTAGTTACTTATGTTAGTAGTATTCTTAATTTATTTTAGGTTGTTTGCTAAGTAGGATAGGGCATTCAAGGCACTGCCTGAGCTTGGAAGAAAATTTGCTCAAACTTGTGGGAGTGGCATACTTCCGAGAATTTTGTCTTGGAAAATGGAAAAACAGTTGCGAAGCGAGCAACTTAGTGTGTTTTTCAACACGTCGGAGGTAATTTTTGTTATGGATAATTCATCTTATTTATTCTTATAGTTTTGAAAAAACTAACTATACTATAATCAGGTTGAAGCTAAACGTGAGGATTTAAGGGGGTGGTTGGCGTACTCCCCTGAAAGGTATGTATTTGTGTTAAGTTACTTGTGGGCTGCTTATTCTAATATATAAAGTTGTCTGTCTTTGTTTAATTTACTGTTTTTTTATGTAGTGATGAAATTTACGTAGCTTGGGGTAGGGGTAGAGCAGGGAAAATTTTTTTTAATGACCTTCTGGACGATAAATGGCTTTCTAGTGAGGTAAACTATTTAAAATTTTATTTCGATATTCTACTCTCTAAACATGATATTTACTAATCTAATAAACATTATATACTCTTAGCATGTAGATGCAGCCATTTTTCACATTCGAGACCGTGCTATAGAGTACCCTCTCTTGTTTAGACAAGATTGTGTCATCTTGGACCCGCATTTCGTCTCTTATGTGAGAATGTTCTTTAAAGAGGGGTCAAAAGCTCAAAGCTTTGATACGACAAATTTTCCAAAGGCGTTAGTTAAGATTCGTTCCCCGGGTCGTATCGCAAGGAAGGTTAGCCGGATATAATTGTTCGATTATTCAATCACAAAAGAAGATAAAAATCCTAAACACTCTAATTCAATGATTTGGGTTTCAATTATCAACTACCAACTTTAAATTAAATAAAGCACGGAATGAACAGTAACGAATTAACTGAGAATTTAAAGAGCTAGGGAATCGGGGACAACTGCTTTCGGTTCTTACACAACTACCGACAATCAATTGCTCGGTTAAAGGAAGTGAATCGTCTCTCGTTTAGAGGTTCACTCTCAATAACTCTTCGTAACAATAGAGTGAACATATACGATTGACTATCAAATCCAGCAACTCATAGACAATACTTTGACGAACAAGTCTATTCTAAACGAGCCTAAATCGACCAATGTCTCCCTTTTCGGTTCTAAACAATGGTTAACTAGGTTATATAGGTGATCAATCTATTAACCCTAAATTGAACTCAACTCGCATAGATATGAACAATTAAGAACAAGCAATTATAATTGAACCTAATCAATTATCCCCTATCCCTAGCAGATGGATTTAGCTACTCATATTGGATTTGATCACACAAACATTCATAACCCAAGACATCATCATCAATGAAAGAATTGAAGAAAAATACTTACGATTAATGAAAATTCTGAACTCAATCCAATAGTATCCGAATCCAAAGCAAGATAATAGAGGTTTTTAATCTCTAAAATCGAATCCCAAGAGCAAAACAATGATAGAAGGTGTTTCTCCTCAGCAAAACACGCGCATAAAATAATTCTAAGAGCGTCTAGTAAAACAAACCCTACTCCTAATTATAATAGAATCGCGAACTAATCTGATAAGCAGTAGCTAGCGCCGCTAGAGGGGGGTTAGCGGCGCTAGGGGGGGTTAGCAGCGCTAGCTGCTAGCTAGCGGCGCTAATGCTCGGACAACAGCTTTTCTCTTCAGCTCGCTAGTATATGGCAGCGGCGCTAGGTCCCTTAGCGGCGTTAGCGACCCCTAGCGGCGCTAACTCAACAAAACTGCGCTTTTTGTCCCGTTTCGGCTCGCCTAACCTCCCCCGGTCGACTTATAAGTCCCCAACTGTCTCGTGCGCTCCCGGGTTCCGCCCGAGCTCGAACATTGTCCTTCACATGTTGGTCCGCACGACTAGCTGAACGATCCTAGAGCAGCGTTTCGAATACCTGAAACCAACACCAACCGAGAAGACACGGAAACAGGAGAATAGGAAGAAAGAAATACGAAAAACACGAAAAATACAGAAATAACACTAAACGCACAAAATGACTCAAATGACCGGAAAAACCTACAAAACAACCTAGAGTGGGAAAAGAAAGATAAACAAAATACCACAAAAGTAGTAACAAAAATGGGACTAACAACTCCCCCACACTAAGACCTTTGTTCGTCCCGAATAACAAATAAGTGAGTAAGGACAATATAGTTCACGCAAGACCAATCTCAAACCAATCAATCAAACTGAGAAGAATTCCAATGAACACAAGAACACACTTGAATAATTAACTCGGCCATATTGAGGAACAAAGACTCTCGAGTATGCAAATGTATATGCCTCACTCAGTTTCTTTCGCAAAATATAAGATAGGTGCACTCAAATTTGGTCATCAGTCACGTTAATCATAAATTTGCCTATCGTCTAACTTTTACTCTAAAACAATCAAATAAATGGGACAGCGAATCAAGAGGACTTGTAGGGATGTAACGTAGGCTCTTTGGACAGGGTAGGATAAATATAGGCTAAGTGGCTCAATATGTACAATCTAATCCATCACTTCACTATGACAATAACTCATCCGGTTGTTACCAAACGGTTTCTTCCACAACTCCAAGAACACGTACTTCCCAAACAACACACATTGTTTTGTTTTCCCCTTTTTTTTTGTTTTGTTTTTGTTTTTTTTTTTTCAAATCGAATCAAACATGAATATTTACACAGCAATCAACCGTCACCTCCAACTCCCAACCCGCAACTCAATATCTTCATCACGAGGTTAACAAGAAAATTCAGTTAAGGCTCAAAGGGGATGACTAGTGATCATTATTCTCGACAAAGAAAAAGGAAAAGAGAGTACAAGAAATGCCTCAATCATATTCACGTCACATCAATCTAATCCAATTATTTCAAAGCAGTCTCAAGGCAAATTCTAATTAACAAGATTCAAACCAATATCACACAAGAAACAATAAGGCTCAAACCTCACAAGGTAAATATGTTCCTCAACACAACGAAGCCAATCAATTAAAGATATATTACTCGTGCTCATCATCACATCTTCTCAATTAAACCAACGATTATCAAAAAGCCTTGCAATACACCAATGTCCAGACTCTGAAAACACATAGAAACCTAAAAACTAGACCGGTCCACCACATAGTCACATAGGAATGTAAAAACTCCCCCACACTGAAAACCAGACAATGTCCCCATTGTCGACTTCAAGTGAGAAAGAGTCAAACCACATAATTAACCGACGCAAAGCAAAACAAACTAAACACAAAACAAAAGAGAAGAGAAAAGAAAAATGTACAAAGCACAGTGACAAGTCACTGTGCGTCCCGTGGTGGTGGTGGAGGGTAGGTGCTCCCGGAACTCCAACGGGTGTCCCATTGGCTGAAATGGGTGTTCCATTGGTCGTGCTGCTGATACTGCTTGTCCTCCCAGGCGTCCCATCGGCTATCGTGAGCCGTCCAGTGGTCGTCGTTTCTCGTGATAGCCGCGTTCAACTCCGTCCAACGAGCATCGTCGGTGGTAGTGTACGACCGCCACTCATCGTCATGCGCCTTCCACCGAGCCTCCTGGTTCGCATTGTACATCATCATGTCCGCCTGAATGGACCGCATGTGCTCGTCATTCCGAGTTTGGAACTCGGTGAACCAAGCCGGAGCGTGCTCAGAGAATGCCTCGGAGGGTCCATCGGTCGCAGGAGGCGGCTGAGATGCCTCATGATTCGGCTGCCCGTCGGTACCGGTGTCAACACCGGTGTCGGCCTGACGTGCCGGCAGAGGGGGAACGGACGACGTACCCGCGCCTGATGGACCGACGGCAGTGTGGGAAGGCTCGGAAGTAGGACCTCTCTTCTGTAGGTCCTCCAGATAATTCTTATAGCTCTTCCTCTCGTGCACCGGCCGAATGTGAAAACGATCATAGATAAACCCGGCACTGGAAAGGTCCCTCTCGGTAATAAACTCGGACTCGAGAGCAGGTTCGTCAATCTGGATCTTGAAATACTTTGCTATGCACGTAACAATGTGTCCCAAGGTCGGGCCACGCCGGGGATCATGTCGGATATAAAAAAGGGCGTTCTTGAGGTATTGGAGCATGGACACGGGTTTCCCTTGAGCGATGGACCACAAAATAAATACTTGCTGCTCGCTTACCTTGTTTGACTCCCGTTTCCCAAAAATCATGTGGCAGAGGTATTTGTGCACTATCCCCAAGGCAGCATCGGTGATACATCCCGAGGAATCCCCCGTTTTCTTGAATGACGTGCAAGGGGAAATCAGGGGCCAATAAGGATCAGCCTTCCACCCCATCGGGCTGTGCCGTGCTGCCTCCTCAGTGCCAAACTCGAAGAGCCCGTTCAGTATCGCATCAGTGACCTTACATTCCTTCCCTTTTAGCCGAGCAGTAAGGTACTTCCCATTATCGTGCATGGCCACCGTGCTAAAAAATTCGAGGGTGAGCTTCGGAAAGGTCTCCTGAACAATATTCTCGAATACCGTGAGACCGAGTAGCGACAGGTATCGCTTGACATCCTCTGAGATGAGAAGGTCGTCGAGTATGCCCCAATCGAGGTCTCGAGAAGCAGCGAGCGGCTTCGAGAGGAGCCGCTTGTAGTCCTCCACCTCCTGAGTAGAAACGACGTGAAAAGGAACGCCGTATTGTTGGGACAAACAGGGCCCGGCAGGAGCCGTAGGAGGGTTGGCAATACTCGATGAGGCCTTGGCCCCAGCTCCTGACGTCGAACCGGTGTTCTTCGATGTGTTGCCCCTCGTTCGCGGCATTGTACCTTCTCTGAGGCAATTTATCAAACACTTGGCGTGCACAATAGACTATTGGAGGAGTTGAAGAATGTTGATGATGCTACGACCCGGAGTAGGCCTCCTCTTGCCTCAACAATCAATAAAATCAGAATTTGGGGAAGCTATTGTACCTTGAACCCGAGAATTTGGCCGGAATTCGAACACCCCACGAGCTAGGGTTCGGACGACCTTGATTAACCCAAAAGGAGGAGTGGAAGGAGGTGAAGCAAACGGAGATGGCCTCGCCGGACTGGAGTCGTCGGTCGCCGGAGTTGACTAGGCGGGGGTCGGAGGTGCGCTTGAGAGAAATTGAGAGAGAGATGCTTGGGGGAGGTGTTTAGAAATTGTGAGCCCCGGTGCCCGATTTTT